CAAGGATTCAGGATGAACGTAATCGACAGGTTTGCTTATGGCTTTTTGCCTTCTGGAAAAAGCAGTATGAAGGTGTATGGATCCTTAAAACACTATTGGATGTTTTTTGAATATTTTGTTCATTTTTATTCCTCAAATATTGCCGTTTTGTCTTCTTACAGGTGACGTTCACCAAAAGAAAATTTGGTTTAATGAAAAAGGCCTACGAATTGTCAGTATTGTGCGATTGTGAGATAGCTCTTATTATCTTCAATTCAACGAATAAACTATTTCAATATGCTAGCACTGATATGGATAAAGTTCTTCTGAAATATACCGAATATAATGAACCGCATGAAAGTCGAACGAATGGCGATATCATGGAGGCTCTACAAAGGAAGGAAAGCAAATTGGGTGGAGTGGAATCGGATGAAGATTCTCCAGGTTCCTCAACTCCGAACCTACCGAATGGAACTTCATCGAACAGTGTTGCACCAGCTGCCGCATCCGTTACCAACAATACGTCTAGCATGGATTTCAACGGTGTCACCAATATAGCACAGCAAATTTTTAATCCAAATGTATTTCTCTCCCATTCAGCAGTCGTTTCTTACAATGGTTCGCAGGATTCAACTGCTGCCATCGCTTCCTCTTTGAGTCGACCCCAACAAATGGAACCGATTAAAACGCATCAGTTAAGTTTTCCCTCGACAAATTCATTCCTGAATTATACCGACTGTTCCACCAGTCCACGATCTGTGGTCACTGTAACAGTTAATAATAATGGAAATTGTGCCGGTAGTCCGGTTTCTTCTTGCGAACAGCACATCAATATTAGTCAGCCAACACAGAGTGACACGCAGCTGCAACTCGCGCATTCTGAAACTGCTGTCGTAACTCGAAGTCATACGGTATCTTCTGACTTGAGGCGAACCTCAAACACTGGTACACGAACCGTTTCAGGTGATTTGAACCAGGAACAACAACAGCATCTCAGTATCGCTGGTTTCAATACTTCCTCCTGGTTAGCTATGCAACCAAAGCCTTATATCAAAGATGAGCCCAATTCACCACCGGAAAAAAGAACACGAATCGAAGGTTTGCAAGCTCAGCCCATAACATGATATTTGTAATTAGTGATTGAAATTTTTATTTCCGGAAGTGTTGGCCACTTTTGCTTCTTTTTTTCTTTCAAAGAATGAATATTAATAGATAGAGCTGTTTTCGCATCAAATTCTTCTACATACTGTTCAATCGATTTTATTCAAATAAAATATCAAAATTCAATAGTTAAATTATCAACAAATAGCCAACAACAATTTTAAGGTTGCTAAAATGTGCCTGCTCAATAAGTATAATTATGTAAGTTCCATTCGTAAGTTTCAAACTTATTTCATTGCCATGTGATAATAAATTTCAAATTATCAATAGCTGAATTGATTCCGTTTTGAGAAAGGTCAGCTTGATATTGTTTTAGTTTTCTTGTAGTTGAAATAATTTTTTTATATGTGCTTTATTCTCATCATCCTGGTATTTAAGCAAGTTTGCCTATTAGTTTCTTAATTCCACTCTCACGCTCAGACTGTCTTTGGCAAATTATGCATTTTAACGGGCCACGAGCTATTTCATGTTCTGCTTCCTTCAATGTCTTTTCACCAGTTATCTTACTCAGATGCGATTTTATATTAGGAATGAAATCCACTCATTTTGAATAGCAAGAAAAAGCAATATTTTCAAGCAATTCAAGGAACAAGACTACATTAAGTTCTGATACGACATTATTCTTGGAAGTCCATCCTATCTGAAAACGTTCACTGATAATTACAGGAGGCATTGAGAATTTTAGACGAATACCTTTATCACTTTCTTAAAAACTTTTAACAAAATTACATCTTTCCTTCTTCCGCTTCAATTCAAAATCTCAACTGAATCCATCATTTACTCATTCCTATCGGACATTACATGTGGTATCTTGAGGCAGTTTTCGAAGATGTTAGATTTTTTAAATTTATTCAATATTTGATCTTCTATTTCCAACACCTTAAAATGCTACTTACATTTATAGTTAAAGTGAAAATTTTTCGCCCTACAGAGTATATTATTAGAAATAGTATTTTGCAAATAGTTTTTCTAAGCGAGTTATTGAAAGGATAAGTTAGGAAATTTTTGTGAAAAAGTTTTATCCGCATCAAAAAAAAGGTTTTCCATGATGATTAAACATCTCATTTTCTTCCGATTTATATGCACTCGCGTTCACAGCAAAAAAAGCTTTGATTTGCTGATACAAGCTGTGTGATAAAAATTAGAGCCTATAACATCGTACAGAATAGAACAATGTTGTAATAATGCAAAATTGATCGGTTCCTTATTAAAAAAGTCAGTTATTCATAGAGTTCTTTAAAAGAGGCATACAGAATTTATTGAACAGTGATATTTATCTCTAATTTTTTCTAATAATTATATTTGCAGCAAAGGAATAATTATTCCTTTGCTGCAAATATAATTTGCACAGGTCAACAACGTTTTATCTTGTGTTTCCATTTCCCAGTCATTTTATGAATGTAAGTAACATCACAGGATATGTCTACTCAGAGAAAGCCGATGTATCGTTGCTGCTGGTGAACTCCGTGTACAAAACGCAGGTTTTAATTTATTCATTTTTTTTTTCAAATTCTTTTTATAAGATTCTGATGTTATTTGGAAATTACTAAAAGCCTGACACTAAAAATTTGTTCAATATTTCGCTTTTAGAAAATGATCTAAAGCACCCATCCAATTCTTTCTTCTCTTTTTTCGTATTCCATTGTTTTACTTTGCACGATTGAATAACTTGGATTTCTGAAAAACAGCACAGAATGGTAAGTGCGAGATACTCCCACCATTCTACAGTGATATCCATACATTACTTTAACAAATCATCTTTTAGAAATCCCCAATATTGTTTTCGTCTGTGCTTTGAAAAACTAAATACCACTGAATAATACGTCCTCACTGTGGGGCATTCACCATTGTATTTATATTAATTAAAATGTTTAAAAATTTTTAAAAGACAAAAATTGTAATTTACAACACAACACATAAAAATGAAAACAGAATGTAAAAAAGAAGCAAAGCAGGAAAAATAAGTAATTCAGCTGCTTTCGTTTGATTGATTGGCAACTTAAGTAAAAATCATCAACCTTGCCATGCATTTCTTTTCATTTTGGAACTGAACAAAAATAATTTTCCAGTATTTTACTACTTTCACAATATATGTGAGAAGATCCGCGTATGTTAATTAAATACAGAAAATCTGCATATCCGGTGCAATGTCGTGGCCGCCATACATCTAACTACTCCTGTAATAAGTGGAAATCAAGCCTCCCTCCACATATACTTTAAATCGGAACATTATATTTGCATTAAGTCACATCGAGAGGGTCAGTAATTTTATTTGGTTTTCTTTAAAAGGATTAATCTTAACAAAATGACAAGACTGAAAGCGTGCATAAGCTTTTAGCATTCGTACACCGAAATCTTGTATATCTTTCCTCAAATCTTACACATTTAAACAATAACTGAATACGAGAAGCTTCAATGCAAATGACATCTTTTGAAGGGAGAGATCATACCTAGTGAATCACTCACTAAACTAGAATATTCCAGATATTTCCTCAGCTAAATTCTCGATACCTGACTTGCGGGTTTAAATTTTCGTGGTAAAACTAATGAAAGGATTGAAAAAGATAGAATGCCCACAATAGCGTATGCAAATCGATATAAATGAATCACATTAAAACAAACGCGAGCCGACACAATCAAAATTAAAAAGAGCTTAATATTGCCATCCCATACATTCTTATCTTCCGATTCATAAATCCAGCTGAATACATCTTCCGCACAAATCTGAAGCATTACTATGAAACTGCCTAATATCAGTTACCCAACTATAAACAAACCTTAGCTTCACTTCATACAATTCAATGCAATTCCTTAGCTTCACTTCATACAATTCAAAAACCATAACGTTCCGACCCAACAGACTGTCCAACAGAAACTTTTCTACCTAATTAGTACCGTTTTCTCAACAGTAACGCTTCATAGGTTATACTACCGGCTATAAATTTCTAGTAACAAAATGTCAATGATCTTATGCTAAGTTAGCAAACTAAAAAGATCCGAGGAAAAATTAACTTCGTTCCTCGACGAAAGTCCATTAATCAATATCTCTATATTTTCGTTCCTGAGCGAACATCATGAGAAAGTTATGCTACAAAAGACACCAAAAAGTTGACTATCCGACATGACAGCCACAATCACACTATTCATGCTCTTAATGACACCACGGCTGTATGTCAAGAAATAAAGATAACACATAATATTTTTAAAACATTTCGATAATCCATTTTTTGCGAATCTCTTATATACAGAGATAAATATCGACATTAACCAGACGATTTAAACGATTTCCTTATGAAATAAATCCCTAAATTTTGAATATCAGTACAATTCCTCGCAGAATGAGTAACGAACACTAGCTTTCACGTCATATTTGCATATATATTCTACAAAATAGCCCAACTAGAATCAAAAAATATTTCTACAGATTGTAACAAATCCTGGATCTCTACATAAATAATACCTGCTTTCAAAAATATTGTTCATATGAAGCCACCACCGGTAAGCACGACAAGAAGAACAATCAGCTTGATTTCCTTCAAATCAAGTCGTGTTTCTGATTTATTCTTCTTATAATAGTGAAAGGAATGAAAAGATGAAAGCACCATACATTTCATCTTATTAAATTATAATCATAGAAACTTTTCTCTTTAGGCATACAAAATCACACAACAGTAGCGAGAGATTATGAAAACAAAAAAAAAGACTCTGTCTGAATATTCAGCTCGATGAGCTCTTGGAAACATATTTAAACATTAAAATAAAAAAGAATTGACAATCACTTGATACTACGAACAAAACTTCTGGTGAATCTCCAGGTCGAAACAGATTCAATCAACCCACATAGCACGTTATCAAACCAATTACGATGAGTATCTAGGAAAACTGGGTGCATTTGTTGACTGTTGAATATTGGCCATAAACTGCCGCAGTTCTTCAGCAATTAAACGGGTATTGAAATCCTGCTGATAGTATGGATATAGCTGTTCGAAAGAATGGAAATAATTGGCATTACCAGTACCCATTGTTACAGTATCAGGTGGCGGTACTAGCGGTACCGTAGGATTTGCAAAATATTGCATTGATTGACTCGGATGTGGTGATTGCTGCTGCTGCTGTTGGTAGTGCATGATAGGACGACTGCTACTAATCTGAGTAGAACTTCCAACCGTTGAGCCAGTTACCGATGCTGATGATGTGGATGCCACCATTGATGTATTGCTGTTGAATGGTAAAGGAGTGGAAGATATGCGGGATGCCTGACATGTGTGCGGTGATAGATCCACTGGATCACTGTCATCAAGGTCGATGCATACAACCGAAGGGGTGACGTTCCGTCTTTGAACTCTACTTGCAGAATTTTGCGACGGCAATTGCTGTAGAACCTAAAAAATTTGAAAAGTCACTTTATCCAGTCAGACTACCATTACTACCTACAAGAAGAAAAATGGACAAAGAAGTAAAGCTCCATTATGATAGAAATGCTATATGAAAAGGAAAATCGAAAACATAATACAGACATGCTGCTTTCTGGACTTACATTGAGATTAAAAGATAAATAACTATCGACATAATCTGCGAATTGCAAACTCTTTATAAAGAGTTAAAAGATATAAGAGAATAACTCCCATCTACCTAACTAAAAAAGATTAATACCTCATCATCGTCGTCACTGTCTAGAATTATGACATCAACATCTACAACTGCATTCATTCGATTACCGTTATTTAATGCACTGTTCTTAATGTTTTTAGAATGGCTTTTTGAATCGTTTGAAGAACTTATTTCTTCGTCATTATCAGAAGCAGATTTATCCTCCTCATCAACTGCTCGCCAACCACCATCATGCAATAGCTCAACTTCTGTGATTTTTGAGGTTGTATCTTTCAGAACCGTTTCAAAGTAGCTGAAATCTGCATATATGTCAACCAGCCGCTAAAAATTTCTACGAAATTAGAACGCCGAGAAGAGCAAATAAAGTAAATTATGTTTACAATTACAATATCGCTTATATCTTTTTCATCATCTAAATGCGTTGAAGTTGAGTGCCTGGAATATGTAGCCCAACAATATAAGTGCTTCAACTAGAAAAAAAGAACGTTTTCTGCCCTAAATACAGTGTGTACAATCAAATAAAAAAGCAACACACCCATCAATAACTAGTTTCTTGTAAGGTGCACCATTATTACAAACAGCACATTTCCAAGTCGGTCGTTTTTCATTCATCTTTAAAAAATTTGATAAATCGAAGCACTGTAAGTGTGTGCAATCGTATGCTTTAACCGGTATTAACATTCGCGTTCTTCCAAGCTGCAAAAAATCTGTAAGCCACCACTTATTGACAGACGTAATTAGTGGATAACATAATTCGGAGTTGATGGTTTAAAAAAAATTTTCGTAATCTAAAAGAAATACGCGACGAAGTTAGAAAAACTCTATATCTTATGAGCTATAATCTAGAATTTACGACAAGATGAAGTTGTATTGAATGTTCGCTTAATTTCTTCATGTTAGCAAAAACATCATTTGAAACGTATAAAAGTGGATAACTTAAATTGTTTCATTTTTAAATTCGTTTTTTTTTTTTTTTTGCTGATGACTCCTTTGCCTCAGTACGCAAGAAACTACAGTACCAACAATGTATATCGAAACATGCTGGAATATGAAATAGAAATGCGGTCTGAGAAGGAAATAAGATTTGAAATAAGCATTTTCTCATTAAGTGATAATGTACAAGGTCTACCGCGGAAACTAAACAAGTAGGAAAACTTACAGGACACAATAAAGACATTCTCAACGTTTCCATTTGTATTGCATCATCATCGCTAGATAAGCGACTTCTAATCACACGTTTTGTTTCTTCGGCATTACGACGAGTAGCGAGATTATCTAACAGGCGTTGACTGAAAATTATAAATCTTCCATCCCATATTATCAAGTATTTTCCAAATATTGAGAGAAATAGAAATCATTTGCATCATTGAAATCAGATAATAAAAGCATTTGATGATACAACTACTCTAATTAACAAATTTTTTTTTCACATATTAAATGAAAACAGTAAAGCAGAAATCTTACAGCAATATATCGGAGGTAAGTCTTTTTACGACATAAATGCCGACTGCCCAAGAGCGTTTATCTGCAGACCACTCTACCACCAATCGATGCGGCCTCATGGCATCTCGTGGTGGCTGACAATAGGGAGTTATGTTCACCGGACGACTTGGTCTTTTCGGTTCCGCATTTGGTTTATTCGTTGGGATAATATTCTACATAAAAACGCAAAATTTGTGAAATAAAAACCAGAGTATGACTGCGTAAAATCTTAAAATGGACGATAAACCAATTCTCAAATTTATTACTCTAGAAAATTTTCAGATTTATAAAAGATTTCTTAAAAAAGCAGCTGAATGACACAAATTCCACATTTACCGGAAGAGTAACAGGAACATCGTCTATTTTCACATTGCAATTCGGTGGGAAATCATCGTGTTGCTCAGCCGAATGGTCCAATAGAAAGAATCGTAGTTGTAGCTCAGTACGTGGCAAGGCCGTAGACTCATTTCTGAAATATGTAATCAAAACACATGCCAACGCAATAAGATACATAGAAAAGCTAAGATTCAATCATCTTTTTGAATCCCGAAATAACCATCAAACTAACCGATAAGAAATATGTGGCATAATATTCGGTGGGATAGCAAATGTGAAAGCCAAACGAGATGTTGATCTAATACCCGATATATTTGCCGGCAATTCAGAAAGTTCAAGTAATGTTTGTTGCTGAAGAAAATAGTCGCTTGAAATACAATGCCGGAAAAATCATAATACTGTTAACCTTATCAGGAAAAATTCCAGTTAATAAGTAAAGATATGAAACGAACTTTGTCATAAAATGGTAAATCAGCAATGTTCAAACTTCTAGTCTGAACCACTTGTGATGAAAACGGATTATGTGTACTGATATACTGTTGTTGCATCAATGCAGATGATAATGTCATTACAGGATTGTAACCATTCATGACACCGTTGCCATCCACATGATTATACATGAGTACTGAGGGTGCGCTTGATGCACTGTAACGTCGACTGGAACTAATTTCACGAATCTTTTGTATTACTGCAGCCTGATTACGAGCGTTTTGCAGCAAATTAATACAGCTAAAATGTGTTTTATTAAATGATACATTACCGTCGTAATTCTTGGGCATCAAAATAAAAATTTAATGAACTATTAAAGCGATAAGTAATCTATGTCACCAAACGCAAGCTCCACCAACACAGTCACTATCATATTTGCTATCACACGGGAAAAAAAGCTATATGAAAAAAAAACTTACCGCTGCACAAGTTCTGTTTTTTTCCCTAATTTCGGACACTTGAATGATGACAGTAAAATATGAAGCTCGTTCACACGGAATTGTTGCAATGATGCCTATAAAATATTTTCTTTCTGGAGAAATGCAAAATTTTTTCTAAAGGCAGGATTACCAATAAAATCAAATTCCCACAACACATTCATAGGGTTTACAATAACATAATTTGAGCCTGAAATTACGAGCGGTTTTACACTCGACAATGTTTTTTACACATTTATTAATCAACAAAATTATTGGACTTCAGTTCTACAAATCAATACTGTCTAAAATGGAATCGGTGTATAAATGTGATTACTCCGATACTCCCGTAAGACTGTAATTTGTACAGTATTTGACAGTTAACATCAATGATGGTATTTAATATTTAAGATGCTGACGAAAAAGAATTTTTTTAATTATCTACCATTATTTATTCTCATTGTGTATAGAATGACTATCGATTTTATGCCTTAATTAAAACTTAAAAGTCTTGTCGAAATCAAGAAAATTCAAGTTTAATTAAAATAAATTTAAGAAAAGAAACTGGCCAGGACTTAGGGAACATATCCACTGATGCATGGATATGGATGTAGACTGTTGGTACTGTGCTGTTGCAGGTGATGACCGACATAAGGGATCACAAGGACTATGCGACCGGTAAGACCTAATTACAGTGGTGGCAGTACTGGAAATGGAAAGTGCCCGATATCCAGATGATTTTCTTAACTTCGCATTCCAAATTAATTGAATCTTCAAGATTCGCATTTTCGGTCTGACATTGAACTACATAATTCGTGACCAAATTTAATTTGTACTTGAAGTAAGATTCTCATTTGTCCGTCCTAACACAAGAAAAATAAGGACCATATATTGACCATGATCTCTAGAGCCACCTTCATTGTGCAACAGGTAACATTGAAGCTTGAATGGAAGGACGAAAAAAAACATGAAGAAATCATCTTCGCCACATCACTTTCATTTTTTCCTATTCTCTAGTACATAGCACAGCGAAGGGTATTGATTGTGATGAAAGTCAGAAATTCCAAAACATTTTCTTAGTAAAACCCTCTTTCATAGATTCAAAGACGATAATATCGGATAAGCTTTCATGATATCTGCTCATCTTTTCACATTCCTTTGTTTAATCATTTAGTTTTAAGCTTCCTTAATGACAGCACCACTACTGGTCAAAACAGTTGATACACCAGCTAACATAGATATATCATACAGAAGTTGATATACCTGCATTAGGTAGTGTATCAAAATCTGATTCACGCTGTCTCTATTTAAAAAATTGCTCTGGTACTTGCTAAAATTATGCAGTCCTCAATCGCATATAAGTAAAGAACTGGATATTCCGAATTTACAGCCAGTCTTGCGCCAGGTTCAAAGTTAGATTTTGGACCTCCCAAGCTCGATCCGGAAGTATCTCTCTTTTACTTTAGTTGCCAGAGTGAGAGTATTAGCTACGTTCCACTTCAAAATAAAAATAACAGCGAAAAAAAGCATGCCAAACTTACTTCCAATGCTTCGAGTTCAGCTCTATTGGCTGCAGCCATAATCCATTGAATGCCACGATGAAGTCCTTAAGCTGGAAAAAACATCAAAAACGCTTCTCACAATCCATGGAACAGTGCGCCCTACCTCACCTTTTCACTAATTATTTCGTTGAACTTTCTGCAGCTCTTTATTGAAGCCAAAATAATTTGCTTCACAAATGCACTTTAGGAGTGATTCCCCAATTCATTCTTCATTCATTCAATAAGATTAAACAATAACAATAATAACTGAAGCCGACAGCGTACTATATGCAAACTATGAAAAAATAAAAATGAAAATACTTTCGCCAATAGACAGTTATTGAGAAACATTCAAATTTTGGAGTATACAAATATTGGTTAATTTCATGCATCACTACTTTTGCTGTAGCACATTTTCGAAACTCATTATGCTTCTTTTTACCATTGGTTTTACCAAATTATAATTGCTGGGAACCTCAAACGCCTTAATCCACCTCTCCGAAAAACTCTAAAATCTCTTTAAGAGAAATGGATTAAAATTTATTACATGGCACCTTATTTTAATTTCAAACCAAGCTAGTGTGACAATCAAATAATATAAAATAATGTAATGCCAGTGCAACCAGTGGGAAACTAGAAAATTACTCAACATGCTTCATTCATAACTAATGAATTTTTAAAAGGGTGCAACTTAGAACGACAGAAGATTATAATAGTGCAAATAGTGTTTTCTCGTAGATTTAGAAAAAAAATACAAAAAATAGATGGAAAGAAGAACTGAAATCTTTCTAAGACATAAATACAAGAAATATCACCGAATCCATGCCTTTCCGCAATACATAATAGCAGAGCTGACCCGATATATGATCATTATCCAAAATTTGAAAGTTTATGAAGAAATTCCACAATAATGGAAAAAAAATAAAAATTAAAGAACGATCATCTCGGCTGAGGAAATGGTAAGCGTCACGGAGAATTTAACCCCCGCAACATCCTAACATCCTCGCCTTCATAATAATTCCACACATGAACCTAATACAGTTATCGCGGACATTGAAGTCGACAGGTCAACGACCTTTCCCTTTTATCAAATAAACAACAATTTTTGCAATATTTTATTTATTTACACCTATATCACAAAATAAAAACACGTGATAAATAATTTTAATAAAACTTTAAGAATATGTCTCTTGCTGCTGGAAACAGTTTCCTAACTAAAAATAACAGGTGCGAGTAGTTGCAAATCCCCACATAAAAGCATAAAAACATTGAAAAAAATTAAATCTTATATAACCATTTGTCATTTGAAGATATCCGATTTCGTTTAAAAAAGCAATCTAATTAAGAGTTATCAGGAGTGACTTCTAAACTGAGGATATGGCTCGATTTAATGTTATTATACAAATAAAATTAATTAGGAAGTTTTGAAGCTTTCAACAGCTGAAAAGGCAGAAAAGAAAATCCAAGAAGCATGGTATATAGAAACTATCTTCTATGCCACATCAAACTCTCTCGTTTTCGCTTAATTTTTTTTTGCAATTGTAACACGCCGTATAGCAATGCCTCTGCTGATGGTGGACATCCCGGAACGTATATATCCACAGGAATAATCCGATCAACACCTTTCAACACTGAATATGAATAATGATAATAACCACCACCATTTGCACATGAACCCATACTGATTACCCATTTCGGCTCAGGCATCTGGTCATAAACTCGTCGAACTGCCGGAGCCATTTTATTAGTTACTGTTCCAGCGACAATCATAAGATCTGACTAAAAAAGGAATTGTTTCAAAGGGTGTTTAGACTTTTAAAATTAATACAATTGCTTGAAACATACATGTTACCCTAAAACATATACAATGCAAGTAAATTCTATCGATTAGACACAGAAATACTAACTCCTAGAAATAAATATCCTAGAATGGAATTCTTTAGTATAATAGCAAACTTGTCTAGGAGATGCACGAAAAACGACACCAAAACGATCCATATCATAACGCGGAGCAGCGAAATGCATCATTTCAACAGCACAGCAGGCTAATCCAAAAGTCATTGGCCAAAGTGAGGATCGATGGATCATATTATTTAGATCATCCAAACGTGTTACAGCCATTTCGCCTTTCGGCAAAGGGTCTTGCCACGGTGAGCCCAATATTCCCCAGATTCCCTATAAATAATGGACTTTAATGCTGAGACAAATGACACATTAGATAACTTAAAGCTCATCATACTGATTAAAAATGACGAAAAATAACCTTTGGCCTGGTCCCCTTCTCAGCCGGTGCCATCGGACTTGTTGGTCCTGTCGCTTTGCTCGATTCCTCTCGAATTTGGCATGTCATCGTTGCAACCATTCGCCGTAAATTTGAAGACATTCCGATGCTGTTAGCCATTTTGAACGGCTGCACCTAAAATTTTTGCAAGCAACATTTCGTGATATCTCAAATACGAATCGTGAAGTCGCCGATCCAGATGGGGCCATGGGGTCAATCCAGTTAAAATGCTCAAATAAAACGATGTTGAAATAATGAAATGCTAAAATGCGGCCCATAACAGTCTCCAAGCGATATGTTCACTCTGCAACACATCCACCCCCTCCTTCTCTGTACCGTCTCCTTTTCTTTCTCTCTGTGTAAAAACAGCTCAGGTAAAATGCGAAGTTTCCTTCTGTTTGTATTTTTCTACGCCCCAATATTCAGTTTCATAGTCCAAACGCTGGTTGGAACCTGGTGGCGTCATATGCTATCCCACTTCAGTGGTCAAGATGTCTCACTCCAGTTGATGAGCCAAGATGTGTCTCATTTCAATTAACGCACCAAGATGTGTCTCACTCTAGTTAATGAGCTGAAGGATGTTCAGGTAGTGAGCCAAGACCTGCTTCACTTGAGTCCTCTCTTCTCCCCTCAAAAGTGATAAATTCATGCAATTGCAAAAACATCTCAGACCATACTCACTACTTCACAAATCGTGCACAGAAATGTTCAGATTATAATTATATTCTTCAGGTATTCGGGCCAGCCGTAAAATATTTGTAGAAGAAACGTAGTGGCCCGGACTCAAATATAGAGGACTGTGGGTTTCTTGTGTGGTGGGGGCTTCGGTAGTACGTGGTGTTCAGGTAGCCGAGGCGTTGGAATGAATAGAACTGAACTGTACTCTTTGTATGTTTTGTGCTTTAGCGTAAGAATGCCCATATTGAAGGGCTGGAAGCAATGAAGAGGAAACGAAGTGGTATTAATACCGATCACTATAGCAAGAAGCGTCCATTTTCAAGACAAGTGATCAAAAACTCCGTAAGTTATTTTGCATGTGTTGTACTAATTGCAAGTTGTCTATAGATCCTTGTCATATTATATTCAATGAAGAATGACAAAGTATCTTTTATATGTTGGAATGTTTTGTCTTATTCATAGCAAAGAAGTGAAAAGATGCCAGTAAGTCAACATTTTGACTTCAGTGTCTTCTCTATAACAAAATTTTTTTGATAACTTTTTTGAACTGAATTCCTAAACATTTTGAAGTATTCCTTTTTATAATAATATTACAACAGAACCAAACTATTTTTAGTGGATCATAGTTAAAATGTTCGCTACTCTGCTGACAGAGTAGTCGAGAGAGATGGTTGTAGATAAGTTTAGTTGGCTATCAACTCAATGCAAAACACTTTTCAAGTCATTTAAGTTTACAGATTACTATGGATTTTGAGAAGCAACAAGAGAAAATGATGAAGCAAAAGTCAAACGAAGAGGCAGAACGGAAGATGTTGAAAGAACCTCACTCCATCGTCATTCATCGTGGAAAAGTTGGACAGTTTGTGCGAACTCTGGAAAAGGATATGCGTGTTATCATGGAACCTTTTACTGCTTCGAAGCTTAGAGTAGTCTTATTTTCTTCTAATTATTGAACAGATTTTTTGTTATCTTTCAAATAGGAATGCTGTTTTGAAATTCAGAGTGAAGAGATTATTATTGTGCTGTAAATGAGGATGATTACGTTTCGAAGAATTCCTAGTTTTAAGCAAGCAAAAGAAGATGCTTTACCTAATATTTTAACTATGTTTAGATAGGTCAGGCTGTTAATTGATATGAAGGAAAATGATTGATCAATCCCTGATCGCAGTTCTAAGGTGGTAAATGGAAGGATTTTAATTATTTGTTGCAAACCATAGAATTTCTGACTTTAATTTTTTTGGTAGAAAAATTTCATTTTTCTTTTCTACATTCAGGTGATGAAACGGAACAATCTAAAAGATTTCATCGTGAACGGTGCAGTTCTTGGTGTTACACATTTGCTTGTGTTGACTCGCGGAGAAAACTGGATAACACTGAGAACTATTCGATCTCCTCAGGGACCAACATTGACCTTCCGAGGTAAAATTATTCACTCTCGAAATCAGCAATTTGGTAAAATGGTGAAGTAAACTGCATTTTGGTATAAGATGATAAAGTAAACTGCATAAGTGGTAAAATGCCATTTAATATTTTTTACAGTCGGTTGAAGTGGATTATTAAATGACCTTCCACCACTCTTGGAAAATATCTGCGTTTCATCAATGTAATAGCGTGAAACATCTCAGACTGTAGAATAATTGCATGATTTCAAGGCTTTAAATTGCAAATACCATTGATTCATCACCTTAATTTCTACTAGTCATTGGAAAAGAATTTTGCAATTTCACTGCGATGGTGAAATTTTGAAATTGGAAAATAAAGTCAGGGCACATCTTAAATTTCTGCAAGTCTGGTGATTACAGCAGCATTCGAGATTCTCCCGGTTTTACTGTCTTTTCTTGTTTTCTACTAAGAGGCTTCGCCAATAAAGAAAACAATTTTAAAATTTCACTATTGCAGTGAAAGAATACACGCTAGCAAGGCATATTATTTCCGCATCAAAGCGCAAAATGCATTTCCAACGATTATTCACTACTGCTCCACTTGTTGTGATGAGTGGTTTCAGCTCAAACTGCGGTCAACATTTGCGACTTGTACAGTCTGTGTTCCAAAATATGTTCCCTACAGTGAATGTTGACACGGTTCGTTCTGCTTTAATTTTTTGTAACTTTCTAAAAACTCTCAAATTTTTCGAAGCAACAAATTTCCATTTGTATAAAATTAACTCAAACCGCTTTGGTGAGGATATCATTTTGTTGTTGTAAGGTTTCAAAATTACAATGTAAATAATCATTCGAGGATTTTTGTTCTGCTCAAATCAAATGTTTAAAATAAGTACATAATTCTCTTTTGTCTAGGTGGATTTGTCTACTATTCGACGCTGTGTGCTGATCAACTACAATATCGGTGATGACACTGTCCAGCTGAGACATTAGTATGCTTCGTTCTTTAACCAATCAACTTCCTAACATATCCTTCTCAAAAATTTTTCTCTTTTTTAGTGCAATCAAAGCAGTTCCTGCAGGACTAAGCAAGTCGACCAAAAAGTTAATTCAAAGCAAGATTCCGGACTTATCGAAATACAAGAATATCGAAGATTACTTTTTAAGGTGCGTTTTTTTTTACTTGGAATTCAAGAGATTCACTGAAAAATTCCGAGAATTTTTGAATTGAGATTGAGAACTTCCAGCCCAGGCCAGTTGAGCGAAAGTGAGTATGAGTTTGAACAAAAGGAGGTCAAACTACCGCAATACCTGACAACACGAGGATGTTTAGAAGGACAGAAAACAAATATAAGGTAGTTAATTTTACATTATTTAATAAACTCTTCATTTGTTTTTGTTCTTGTAGTAACCTTTAATCTGACATTGAAAATAGACAGTGTAATTTCCGAATTAACTGCTTTCAGACTTTATGAACTTGGCCCTCGGCTGACGCTGCAATTAACGAAAATCGAAGAAGATATTGATGAGGGCGAAGTTCTTTATCATGCTTACATCACCAAATCTCCCAAGGAATTGATGCAGTTAAGGAAAGAATTGCCAAAAAAAAAGTCATTTTTATTTATTATGCTGCTAATGACTTTTATTGCAAGGTCGATCTACTTATTTGAAATAGATCGAAATTAGAAATTTACTGAATCAGCATCATTTTTGAGTTGATAAAACTTTCCTTTTTTCCAGGAAATTGAAGAAGAAGATGCAAATAAAAAATGAGCAACGAGTCATCCATCGTTTGAAAACTCTGAATGAAAAGAAAATCAAATTGGAGGAAGCTTTAAAGGAAAAAAGAGAAAAATTAATGAGGAAACATAAAGAAATTACTGGTCATGAACACTTCGATGATTAGCCTACAATCTATGCACATGACTAATTTTTGCGACTTTTTCTCTCGATCTTGGTATGTGGTGTTGAAATCAAGAATTTGAGAAAGTTCATTTTTGTTTGAACAAATTATCCGACTACTTAATCCGATTCTTCTGATAGTAACTTCTTTTTTTCATCCAAACAATTTTACGAACGAAATTACGAAACGAAGGACAAATATCATCCTTTTTAAATCCTAAAAGTCTTAGAAAAACCACAGTTGACGAAAATTAGTGAAATCATTGAAATCATCCATCTTTTTGCTGGAAAGTTAACTTGCAGTCGTGAATTTGTGAATAGATCGCGTCAAGTCATGAGTACTTGTTCAATTTTCCATGGTTTTCTTGTTTTCATATCTTCAATAATAGTTTTTTTATTGTTGCTGACAAAATTTAACAAGTGTTGCTAGGGGACGGAGGAAATTTAAGGGCATATTAACATGTGGCCTTACAAAAGAATTTAACATGTGACGAGGAAAGTACAAAAGAATTCAACATATGGCGAGCTACTTCAGCTTTAGTAATTTATATCTCGGATTGAAAACATAGCTTAATGCAACTGTGTTTCATGCACACGAATTGAAGTTACACAAAAAAGTAAATCAGATTATCACAACTTTGAAGCTAGAACAGACTTTTTTGAAATCTTCCAAAATTTAGGTATTTTCGCTAAGTTCTAGTTGGTTTAAATTCTTCGGTTCTTCAAGTGTTTAGAAAATGCTGCGAAGTCTGACAGCCATTGATGGATATAGTTTCTCAATCAGGTTATATGTAAAGAATTGCAGACAGAGGGAACTCCCGGAAGAGATATCTATAGCTGTAACGACTAAAAAATGTATGCAAGCTATCTACGTTTAAAGCTGTGGAATGCTGTGGACTCGATCTGCCGATCCGTCAAATTTCTATACATTTGAAATCTCAAGTTTTTTTCACACGGCATGCAAACCGCAGCAAATGACACTAAGTCTATTACAAAAGAAAAGAAAAAAATAGCATTCGAAGGAAATCACAAAGAAATATAACATTTTAAGAGAATTTAATAACATTTAGGAACATATATTCTTGCCACGCTGAAGTTAAAATCAGTAAATTCACATCTCTCAGGATTTGAAAACCCGCCATTCAGGGAAATGCTTTATATCTGAAGAATAAGTCCTAAAAGAGATTTGTATAAAAGTATGCGAAGAAGCCATTGTGCTTTCTTGGCAAATATTTTCTCAACTGTAAGTGGATGTACTGACTTTTTAAATGGATGTACTTTTAGTAAATGGATGTACTGACTTTTCTATCATTTGAAAAAATACGTTACAAACGCTCCATTAAAGTAATTGGTTCTTTTAAATTCCAAATTCATCCTTTAATACTTCTTGTAAGTAGATTTTGCAATTCTATTAAGTGCTCCCAGGGATTTTTATTTCCGTGCAATCTTTAAATTTAAATTTCGAGATTCTAAAGAAATGAAGGAATTAACCGGAATTCATGAAGCTGTAAATTTCAATCGTTGGAGGTGAATGAATGCATGTTAGGACCACTTCGTCTTCTTGATTTGCTACCTTGTAAACTTCATAATTCTTTGTGGCCTATCAGAATGTTAATTTCCTCGCGAATTAGTAATTTCTACTCTGTCTCTTAACAGTAAATTAAAAATAATCAATGCATAACTTTGGTCTGACTTAATTTGGAGAATTTAAATTTGAAAAACGAAAATGGATGAAGTATACAGACTGTGGTTTATTACTGTAATCAAACGAAAACGATGAATCGACTAAGCATCAATCATGAATTAACGGCCATCAACCTGGCTTTAGCACATTCCGGACAAAGGATGTCGGCAGCATCTGTTATGAAGCCTTTACCGACTAGTGATGTTGAACACTGCGCACAAATAAAACAATCGTTATGCCAGTGTCGATCCTCGAATGAAATAAATTTGGCACCTCCAATTCCTGTGAATTAAAACTTAATTCATATCTGTTTCGAATATTATTCATTCCTCCTCTCTCACTTTTCATCTGTTGTTTCAAAATAAAATTAAACAAAATCTGCTCTATGACTTCTGGGAATCTTCAACAACATTTCAAAAATTTATATAGAAATGAAGAAGATAAACAACCAATCAAACATATCTGTTAGAATACTTTGATAAAGTAATATTTTGATGAGAAAGTGGCTAATTGTAAAGGGAAAGAAGGAATGATTAATGAATGCAAAGATTCTAAAATGGATAAACAAATAGTGACGTAATAATAATAAATGAGTAAATAAGTAAGTGAGGTAATAAATAAAAATTTTAAACATAGAATTAAGATATATTACCTGTAATTGGTTGAACGCAAGCGTTGCATCGTTTAGCAAATAATTCGCCGTAACAGTTAGCGCAATATGGTTTTTCATCTTTCGATGTGAATCTTTGACCAGCTAATGATGTATTACAATTTGTACAGCAAAAACATTCCCGATGCCATGGCTCATTTTTATATGTTACGCCACCGGTGTTTATTACCTAAAATTAATGAAATCATTTATTTATATACTTTTTTTTTGAAATTTTTCATTATCACTTGAAATTATCATTTTTTTAACGATAGAGAATGAAAAGTCTTTTTTCCTTTTTTAACCTCTCCCAAACATTTTAAATTATTTCTATCTTATTACTATTGTTGAATTTGATTTGGTGCTGCAGAGTTGAATTGTAATAAGTGATAAAAGAATATATGAAAGGAATGAAATTTCAATACCTTTTTACACTTACAACACCTTGTTGCGAATTTTTCTTCATAACAGGTAGCACAATAAACTTCATCATTTTTAGGTATAAAACTTTTAGTACCAATCGGTGTTTTGCATAGTGCACAGCAAAAGCATTTATCATGCCATTGCTTACCTTTATATTCCATTTTTTTCATGCCTGTAATAGAAAGAGGAATATTGTGACATTTATTTGATATTTAGTACTTGGCACTAAATATTAAGCAATACTGAGTTTGTAACTTAATAGTATTTGTAGTACTACCACTACTAAATTATCAATAGTACCACAGTAACCTATCTTTACTATCAACTACTTCAATAGACTACAATAATGCTACCGTATTATGCTACTTATTTGCAATAAATAATTTTTTCATAATACTATCATAATGTTAAGTAATACTGAGTTTGTAATACTACCAGTATCATTACTAAATTATCAGTGGAAGCTTAACAAAGACACGATTATATTATTATTCTTGAATCGAAAAAGATCGGAAAGAAAAATATACCAGCACGAAATATTTCACCACAACCATCACAACGTGTCGCAAATGCTTGATCGTAACAATTGGAACAGAAAATTCGATCATTTTTACTACCAAATGGCTTATCAACGAGTGAGATTTTACACATATTACATAGAAAACAATCTTCGTGCCAATGTTTATCTCTGTATGATAGATCCTAAATTTTATCATTAACATTATCATTATTAATATCTGATAATCGGCAAGCTTCTAATTCTATCACAGCAATGTATAACTCTTTGTATCATAAACAAATTAATAATAAAATATCGAATCACCTTACAATCGATGCCAATTGGTTTGGCGCATTCGTCACAGTTATTAGCGAAGACGTCTTCGTAGCACTTGATGCAATATGGATGTTCATCTCGGAGAATGTACCGTTGACCAGTAAGAGTACTATCACATTGCCAGCAGCAAAAATGATCACTATGCCAATCTTTATTCATGGCTTTTGTATATTCACCGGCAAATATTAACTGCAACACAAATTTCATCTCACATTAAGTTAACTTATTAATGCATGAATAATTGAGTGATGAGATTATTAAATAATTTTATTTTTAATCGAATAAATGAGTATCAATATCGAGTGCCGATATTGGAAAAAGTATCATACGGTTTTAGTAGCACTTTGAAAAGTATCATACAAATTTCTTTATACATTTTAAAACTCAGACAGAATCGTAAATTAAATTAAATTTTGGCAGATGCTTTTAAAAGAATGAAAATTAGCCATTCACATCACAAAAAAAGACAAACGAATATAATTGATTTAAGAATTTGATTTGAAATTTTGATCGCAATAAGAAATATAAATAAATCAGTTTTAATTGAAATGAATTAATTAGTAAAAGAAAAAAAATACATAAGTAATCGATGAATTTAATTCAATATGACTTCTTTTAAAGTATAAATGAGAGTAAAACATTAAGTATTCAAAATAGTTTAAGCTGAAACGGTAAAAGATATTAGTTAAGAAAAGATTTGGAAAAAAGCTTTTTATTTTAGAAGCATAAAATAAAGAGAAAAGAACAGCTGTTTAGTGCTTCAAGTGTATAACTTTATATTTAAATAATGAATAGATTTTTGAGCAATAGAAAAGAGCAATTTATTCAATTTAACTGACACCTAACGATAACGACATTAACAATAACAACAACCCTTTTCATGTTTTATTTAATGAAGCAAAAGAAAAACAACATAATTACTTACAACTATGATATTATAATAAAGTTAAATGTTGCAAAGTGAAAGTTTTGTGGTGCATTAAATTTCCTTTTATTATATTTCATTCATTTACATTTTTAATTACAATTTAAACATTAAACTGTTTTATTAAATACTAAATAAGAGGATTATCACGGGCAGAAGAAGGCATTTAAACTTTTCCTTTTTTAGATCGCTAAATTGTCGCAGTTAATTTCAATCGAGCAAAATTTATGAAATAATAAATCATTAAATTTATTATGTTTATTATTAACTAAAATTAGCCCATTTCTCTTTTCCTTGGAAGAATCGAGAAAACTTTTCTCACTTCAAAACTATATTTTATTAGCCTTAATTTCTTCATATCTTTTTTTAAAATAATTTAAAACGATCTCACGATGGGATTAACTTACTGTGATAAAAGATTAAAGTAAATGTTAGGCCATATATTAATAATAATCATTACTTGGCTCAATTCAACAAAATACCCTTTG